CTAGCAGGCGTACAAACAAACATTTAAACTGTTTTGAAATGTGCAAACGAAAATCTATGGATTAAGCTTATTACAAAAAGATTTCGCAGAATTTATATTTCTTTGAATATAAAGTTAGTCTCCCAAAGACTTCTTTTTTAAAAATAAATCTTTTTCGGTGCAAACTCTTTCAAATGTGCAAACAAAAATTCAAACTGTTTTGAAATGTGCAAACATAAAATCTACCGATTAGGTTAATTAAGAATTATTTTTGTAAAAATTGGGGGCTAACGTGAAGTTGCCCCCTCCCTAAAAGTTTTCTTTTAATAATTATTTTATTAGAGATGTGCAAACAAAAATAGAAAAAAATGCATTCATGTGCAAACAATGTGCAATCGAATTATGTAAAAAAATTTAATTTTTTCTAATATTAGAGAGCTAATTTCACACGTCTCAACCGAAATTACACACCAGTTTTGATCCTTCTCCTCACAAGCGAGAGATAAAATAGGAGAAAAAAAGAAGAAAAGAATGAAAAGGCTTACCTCTCGCGGTGCAGCAAGCAGATGCGCTCCTTGGCAACCTTCAGCTTCTTGGAGATAATCTTCTTGAGGCTCTCCACGGTGTCGTTCCGATCCACCGTGAGCTCAAACTGGCCGCCGGTTGTCGGCGTGATGCACACGGTGATCTCGTCCCTGTCGGCGGCGGCGGCGACGCAGCCACACCCCGGTTGCGGTGCCGGCGGCAGCTGCGGCGGCTGCGGCTGCGGCGTCGTCGTCGTTGTCGTCGAAATCGAGGTAGTAGTCGCGGCTGCGGCGCGCGACCCCGGGGACGCGGCTCTTATCAAGCCTCGGTCGCGGCTCTCGACGTTATCGGAGGCGGCGGCAGCGGTGATGGTGGTGGTGGTGGTGGCCGCGTCATCGACAGGAACAACCGGGTCGTTCGGGGGGATGGCGGAAGCGACACTCGTCGACTCGTCGTCGAGTGTCCGCATCTTCGAGGAGGAGGCGGCTTCGTCGCTCTCGGCCCCCATCGCCCCCACATCCGATGTTCGCGGTGGACCCGCGGTGTCGTCCATCCTGACAACTTGTCGACTATCGATGCACTGTGCGCGACGATGATAAACCGTACGAGGTATGCGTGACGACTGCTCTGTCCGCCGCTGCTGCTGCTGCCGCTGTCGCCTTCTTCTTCTTCTCCTCCTTTTCCTTTTCTCTTACCGTCGCCAATTCCTTCTCTTCGCCCTCCTCCTCTCCTCCTCCTCCCCCACTGCTCACGACGGGACCTCGCGCTCTCCTACGTGTCCGTGTCGTCTATATGCATGCACCTGCACCTGTGCCCTGTGCCCGCTCTTCTTCAGGCGTCTCTTCTTCCCGAAACGTCGACGTACGAAAAAATAGAAAGCAGCCGGCAACCCCGAAGAGAGCGGCAGCGGCAGTGGCCACGGAAACGCGCACAGTGGGGTAAGGGGCGGGGAGGATTGGGGGACAGAAGACAGACAGGCAGGCAGGAAAAGGAGTGTATACTAGAGAGGAAGGCGGATTTTCTGGCGTTCTCGATGTCCGTGTGTCCGCGTTCTCTACGACGTAGCCGCCGCTACGATCGATAGCGATAAAGTATTCGCGCGAGAATCTCGCTATAATCCTCGAGGAAGAGAGAGAGAGAGAGAGAGAGAGAGAAAAAATACTGATCACCGCTTCTGACACACCACGTATACCGCGCGACGTCGACGACGACTCTCTCCCACCTCTTTCGAGCAAGCACCTTGCTCGCGCTCTCTCTCTCTCTCTCTCTCTTTTTCTATGCTTCCCTTTTTCTCTCTCTTTCTCACGCAATTCTTCCCCTCTGCTTACAAAGGATCTTCTCGTTCCCTTGTACGTACTTGTGTTGCGTGTATATATCCTTTCTTCGCTGACTTTCTCACGCGCACGCACGCACCCGTCCACGTATATATGTACGCACTTACGACCCTTCCTCGAGCGGTCGAACCCTGCGACTAGCGAACGGAAAACCGGAGCTCCCGGAGCTTCTGCTAGATTCCCAGACCCGGCGGCCGCCGAACCCATTCCGTCGCCGAGCGAGTGCGCGGCCGAGGATGCACGACGCGACCTGAACTGAGCCGAATAGCCGTTACGCGGGCTATTCGAATCATCGCGAATCGACCGTCATCCCAATAAGCAAGAAACGTGTTGAGGTATGTGTCATGTGTCAAAACATTGACAAAAGTATTAAAATTTCGTAGACTATTCTACTATTTCTTCGGAGTATTTGTATAAAACTTGAACACAATTTTCTTAATGGTTTGGAAATTATTTAAAGTTTGTACTGATTTTTTTATGGAAAATCGCGTATTGTAGGATTTATTGACAAATTTGACAAGGAAAGAATATTATCAGCGAAATAAGAATTCTCACATGTATTAACTCTAATAAATATTTGTGCGAAACTTGATTTAGATTCACTTACTCGTTTAAAAATTATTTACTAAAAATTGTAGCAAAATACTTATAGCAACCCAAAATCATTCTGTAAATTACTCGTTTCTTTTTCTCACAGTTGATTTCAAGGAGTATACACAATCAAAAGTTGTCATAAGTTAGGAATGCGATTTTCTTCAAAACGAAGCAGAAAGGAGCAAATCTCTAAAAAACTTTCTTATGTTATTTTTTATGTTAAAATCGGTGTCAAAATTTATTCATATAATGACATTGTCGATTACAACGTAAAAGCTTACATATTTACTAACATTACATATTACTGAATATCGTTATATTAATGATCTTTTGCTTATTGAGAACTTTCCACATCGCGCAAGTAGAGAGAGAGGGGGAGGGGGAGGGAGGGGGAGAGAGGAGATTGAGAAAGGGTGGGAAGGAGGAAGTGAGAGAGGCGTCGGAAGGGGAAAGGGGAGTGAGAGAGAGGAAGGAGGAGAGGGGCGGAGGGGTGAAGGACTGGAGAGGGGAAAAGAGAATCGAGGGAGAGTGGAACGGATACTGTTCTACTCTGATTGGTTTCGCCATTCTAAGGTCAACTCATATACATATGTATATCCACATATATATGTTGAAGTTGTGTGATGATAATTGTGTGTGTGTGTGTGTGTGTGTGTGATAAATACTCCACTCTTACCAAAATATTACCTGAAAATGGCGGATTTCCGGTGAATCCACTCCACTCTCTCTTGATTCTCTCTGGAGAGGGGTTGTGAGAGGGAGGAAGGGGAGAGAGGGGATGTGCGAGGGAGGGCGGAGAGGGAGGGGTGGAGGTGTAGGAGGGTGGAGGAAGGGAA